GCTGCAATGAACACAGGGGTGTGTTAATATCTCTTTGAGAATCTGCTTTCAATTCTTTTGGATATATACCCAGAAGTAATGCTATTTTTAATTTTACTGCCATATTATTTTCCATAGGAACTGTACCATTTTACATTCCCACCAACAGTGCACAAGGGTTCCAATTTCTCCATATCCTCACCAATACTTACTTTGCTTTTTGGATAGTAGTCATCCTAATGAATGTGAGGTAGTATCTCACCATCCATTTGATTTTCAAAATTATAAATATTCTTGAAAAATTATTGAAAGTTTTATAAATCAGTACAAAGATAAATTTCAGTTGTTTTTCTCCAATGTTTATTAATTCTAAATTAGAGGTAGTAAATTAAGTTTCAATGAATCAGTTTTCTTCTTCGGATAGTCTCTACCTGGATGTTTACAATGGTCTAAAACAGAAAGAAAACTTAGCGGATAGCAAACACTCTCTCTCTCTGCTGCTCTGCCCATTGTGCTCTTCACAATGTATCTTCCCCATAATAAATCTACCTTTCTTAACTCATAAAAAATAAAACAAAATAGAAAGAAAATGTATTAAATGGCCCCAGAAATATGCATGAATGCAGCATGTATGGTAAACAATTGGTAAAACTTAGATTTAGGTTTACGTAAGCCTTAGATTTCCTGCCAAGCATATACTAAGTCCCAAGAATGTACCAAGCACTTTCCTTCCTATTTATTCAGCTTTCCTTTAATGCCAGTCATTATACTAGGTGCTAGGATATAAACATAAATAAGAAGACACTGTCCTCATTACAAGAACATTATGAAACATTAATAGCTAGCCCCATTTACACTTGAGGAACCTGAGACTCCTTACATTTAGAATCTTGGCATCTGGAAGGTAAAATTTAAATTCAGGTCTTACCTGGGAGTTCACCTTTTGTACTATCCCACATACTATGTACTGTCAACAGTTACTATTTAAGGGAACCTTTTGAAAAGTAATAAGCAATTGAAATTTCTGTTTTTTACTCTAAATTTCCAAATGTTGGATTTTCAGAGAACAAGCACAATGTAGGAAATCAAAAATCAAAAAACAATAACAAAACCTGTAAAACCTCTTCCTCCAGGAGTTGATAACTAAATCGAAGATACTTTTTACCAAGCGATGTTATCAAAGCATGCAAAGTAACAAAGAAGACATATTTTAATACAAACAAAAATAGTAAATCCCAGAGTAAGCTTTGAATATTTGCAGCTTATTAGAAAACTGCCATACGTCCAAAGCTCACTGGCTTGACAAAATTTAGAATTTTATACCTAAATAGTTTGTTTCCTAGACCTGTATCTAATTACAAACAGAAGAACCTTCTAGACCTATATAAACTTCTCTAGGAGACAGAAACAATAAGATTTAAGGATTCAAAGAATCAAAAATTGCATTGATCTTCCATTTAAACAAACAAAACAAAACAGAAGGGAAAGAAAGAAAAAATGTTCTGGTTGAGGAAACTTTGAAGAAACCACAAAACTTCAAAAAGAATTTTTCCTATCCAACTCTTCTTTCAGTACAAATAAAAAAGTGACCTTTAAAAATAACTTGGTTCTGAAATTTAAACTATGTTCTTGTTTATTGAATAATTATATTTTTAATCTAGAAAACATAAATTATGTGAAAGCACAAAAATGGTACAAATAAGTATAACAACTTCAATGTACATAATCTTATAGATGTTTCATAAATAGAGCATAATAACCAATAGTCTCAATACTTGTATCAAAGTTAATCCCTAAATGTTGAAGAGGAACTAAATATGATGGCTACCCAGAAACTTATTACTTCTTTATAACTTTAAAAAAGCTCAATATTAAAGATGAACTATTCAAACTATATGTGTATTTCTATAAAGAGATGTTTTTGTCACTGTCGTTTTATAAAGACATACCAGTGAATACCCTGGTGTTGTGAAAAAATGTTTTGCTGAGTCAGATGAAATAGAAACATATAGCTTACCTGCAAGGCAGAAGAAGACCTAACACTAGGCTTATGTAATTTTAGGTATAGACCAGATGTTCGGTTAAACGTAAGTTATCTTCCGATTCATTCAAATGTTTTGCATCCAACAAGCATTATATTAAGTACCTACCATGTGCTAAGCACTCTGCAAGACAGTGTAACAGATCAGAAATGGTCCCTGTCCTTTTAGAACTTACCAGGTAATGGATATATCCTTCAAAAACTATTCTTTCTTTTGGGCGATTCTATGTTCATCAAGCAACTTCTGAAATACAAATTCAAACTCTCCCCAAATTTAATACCCATAAGACAGTTTATTTTATTGCCAAAGTCAACTTTCTGGTCAATGTATCAACATATTCATATTTTAAAAAGAAATTATACAAGTTTGCACATCAGTCTTTCACGACTGTAGTTAGCTTGAGCGAATCCCCAAAACCTGATAAATTCAAATTGTTTAGATGTAATTTCTGAATCTTCAGAGCTGAGAATCAAATACAGGAATGGAATGTATCCATATAAAGAGCTTATCATTCAAATGAGTCTCTAGTTTACCCTCTAATAAAATACCTTTATTTCATCATGCCCTTCAAACTGCAATTACCATTAATTCATAAAACTGCTAAGAATAAATGAGACATGCTATATTAACGGTGCTTCTCAAACTTTATTTTTTAATTTTTTATTTTTTTTTTCCGAGTTGGAGTCTCACTCTGTCGCCTAGACTGGAGTGCAGTTGGCGGTTCCGGGCCACCGCAGCCTCGACCTGCTGGGCTCCGGCGATCCTTCCGCCTCAGCCTTCCAAGTAGCCGGAACTACAGGCGCGCGCTACCACGCCTGGCTGATTTTTGATGTATTGTAGAGATGAAGTCTCGCCAAGTGGCCCAGGCGGGTCTCGAACCCGCGGGGCTCAGGCAATCTACTCACCTCAGCCTCCCAAAGCGCGGGATTACAGGCTGAGCCACCGAGCCCGGCTCAAACTTTAATATACCTATGGATAACCCACAGATATGTGAGAATGAAGTCTCTGATCCAGTAGGTTCCGGGCAGTTAAGGTCTAAGACTCTTCTGGTAAGCACCCAGTGATGTCAAGCTGCTGTCCACAGACTGCAATGGTATCTGACACACCTAGTACTCTGTCTGGCACAGACTACTCAGCCCAGTTAACTAGTCCCTCGCACCTGTGTCTTGTCTCCCTTACTGATCTCACCTTTCCTGAGAGCAAAGACAAATGTCTTTTTACCTTCCCAAGTTCTAAGCAGAATGCCATCCACATGACAGGCATTAAATATATGCCGACTAAATGAACAGCATCCGGCTTTTAATAGTCATTAATTCTATGGTTATATACAGAACGGTTTCTTCCTCTGAACTAGTTTATTTTAAATAGAAAAATACTGTTCAAAACCTGAAAAATCAAAAAAGCTCTCCATGTTTTTAAATAAAAATATTGCATTTGCACCATACACCTTTCTTTCCCCATGCTGACCTAGTAAGGTCTTTAAAAGAAAAAAATATCCATAATTAACTTCTTCGTCTCTTAATGATCAAGAACTCACAATAAGAATCAATGAATATTCAATAAATAAATAACAACATATCAGTACATAAAAATACATCATTCATTTTTCCGGGGCCGTTTTAAAATTAATCTTTTCTTTGTGTATACCTTCTGCTTTCAAAATAATAGCATAGAATTATGCCATCTTAGTAAAGGTCTATAACACAATCCTGGCTTCTCAGCTTAATCGTACTAGACAAAAACCATGAGTATCCTTGTTATGCAAAAATAGATCGTTTCTCCGCTGATTGTTAGCATCTCAAAGGGCTGCTGGTCTCTTCCCTTGTGAATACTAGTTGTCGACCTCACTACCCTCTGTTCCCTGCCGAGAAAAATGGCATGCTGACAGGGTGGTGTTTTGAGCACTCCGGAAAGAAAACAAAAGAGGACTATCATTTCTACTTCTTAGATGTCTACCTTTACTGTTTCATGTCTTTGCGGCGACTCTGCCAATTACCAAACACAATTTTTTTTTTGGTAAGTAACTAAGCGGCTGGTAACCAAGCATCGACACCGCTGAACAAAGTAAAGGTCCCACCAACAAACGCGATAACCCGCTTTCCGCCCCTCCCCATAAGGGAGCACGCGAATCCCTCGGACCCGCCTCGTCCCCCCGGGGACCGCAGGGGAGGCCGGGCCGGCGCACGGCGGATCCACGCGTCCTCGCTCGGCTTTGCTTTTTCGCCTTTATTAAAATGGTTGTCTGGGCGTGTGGAGTTCTCCTGGTTCTCTTTTTTTGAAGACACCAGACAGGTTGCGCAACGCGGACGGGCCGCGGGCCAGACGCCTGCC